GGTGATGCGGGCTTCAAGTTGTGGCCATTCCTGATGGTCCTTTTGACGAGCGCGGTGGCAAGCGCCTCACGAAAAGACAGCGGAGGTATGATCTTCAATTTGTTTGTGCTATTTTTTATTTGATGTGCTTGAAATGTTTGCAGTTTCAATTATCATCTCTCTCAGACACGAATCATTGTTGAGCGCGTATTTGGAAAGCTGAAAGCACGATTTAAGGTGCTTCACGGGGTCACGGATCGACGTAAACACGAGACGAACGCTAGGATGATATGTTCTGCTGCGGTGCTGCACAACATATTGATCGATATTGGCGACAAGCAGTTCAAAGGTGTGAGAGATATTGAAGCTCGGAAGCAAGCCAAAAATGATTCCAGGCAAGTGATGACAGCGTACAATCAGAACTGGGACAGAACGCAAGGTGAAGTTGACTTGGCGATTAGGAAAAGAAACATGTACGCTGACCGTTTCTACGAACGCGATAACGAGCATAATGACGCTCCGCCAACTCCTGTCCTCGTAAATTCAGCTATTCCGTGCTTGAACGATTGCCTCCGTTCGTCATTTCCGTGTAGAGGTTTTTGGTAATCTGGTGAAGACCAGAAATGCTTTGAAGCAGTGCTTCGGCTGTGGCTTGCTGTGTGGCGTTTGCAGTCTCAATAGACGCCGTGAGTTTGCTGAAAAGCTGGGTCATTTCCGAGTTATTCGGCGCTGGTTGATGGCGAACCGAAAGTACTCTCTCAATTGTCTCGAGGCCAGAACGAAGGGTATCGCTGACAGTATCAATGGGACGCTTCACACCCGTCGAATATTTTTGCTGATTGTCGCGGCGTTTTTTCGCCTTTGCTTTTTCCTTGGCTTTAGCGCGAGCTTCACTTGGTGTGTCGGAGTCTTCGGAATCAGACGTCTCCTTGTTTTCGTCGCCTTCACTCTATGTATTGACTACGGTGACGTTTGCAGCTAGACCTGACTCCGTGATTGCTTCTCCGGTGCTTCCAACGCGACGCGAGAATCCATCACACAAAAGAGGCCAAAGTGCTGCCAACTCGACACCTAGCTCAGCGCGATACTTCGCCTGTACTTTCAGAGGGTCACAAACCAACTTTGCGTGAGAAACGGAGATATCACTGTTGCTGCTGTCGCTTTCGTCGGAATAGCTGACGAAAAAATCAACAGGCATTTCAGGATACTTGCGCTGGGGCGACTCACTGTCGCCTTCTTCATCACTGCTGTTTTCCTGGACTCTGTTTCCTGTCCCCAGCAAACGAGTGCGTTTCTTTTTGTAACCGGATCGAATGTTGTTCAGCTTGTTCTTGAACTGCTTTACACTAACCCCGCGAGGTCCGTCATCCCCCCAAGCAAGTTCCTGCAGCGCACGCTCCTGGAAAACGTTGATGGTGGCCTCCCATATCGCTCGAATTGTTTTTGTGTCTGAAGTTTTTTTCGCGAACTTCGCCAAGATGCGTGGGTTTTTAAATCGAGCCTCAATTGCTAGAGCAGTCAGCTGGATCGTCCAGTGCATGCTCTTCACTTCTTGAACACCATCTGCTTCATTTTGTGTGTTTGCTTGCTTCGCCTTGGACGACTTCACCGGCTTCGGCTTCGTAGACGCAGCAGAGCTCTTTGGCTTCTTGGTCTTGCGTGTTTGGCCATCTGAAGGGACATCTTCTGCGTTATCCTTGCTCGTAACTGGGCGGGAAACCCGTTTTCGCTTGGCTTTGGGAGCTTGGCCAGTGCTGGTGATAGCAGCCATCGAGGCCTGATGAGCTTCAACAACCCTACGGCTGGGGCGTCTGTTTCTCTTGGGCATTCTCTCTGGTGTCAGGTCCTGTGCAGGCGAAGAAGGCGAAGCTTGTTCTGCAGCGTCTTCGTCTTCTGAGTGATCCTCTTCATACTGCGTGTAGTAAGGTGGCAGCTCTGCCGAAGATGGAGGTGCCGTGACAGCAGCTCTATGAACCAAGCGTGCAGCACGTACAGGGGGCACGTACATGTTCCCGTCCTGTGTCATATCGCGTGCTGGTAGAGCTCCACACTGTCTTGCGCTGTCCTGGGGGCGAGGCATACAGGGCAAGGAGCGCTCCTGATGAGCACGCTTTCAAAAAGGAAACCAACTCTCTTTGAGCATGTTGAAGACATGCCGTTCGATGGGTCAGTCAAAAAGTCGTCTCCTGGCGAGTAACATGGGGACGACTTTTGGAGACTACTTTTTTCAGCGCTCTGATAAGTCGTGTAGCCAATAAGTCATTACTTTTTTACTTGGACATCCCTCTTATGTTCTGAGGTCGAGGTTGGTCCATAAACATCAGGGCACATCGTTAGTGACGTCAATATTACCATACCAAGTCACGACAACTGACACACACTCATTCGCAGTACTACACCTGATAAGGAGGCGGACGTCCCCCCCCCCCACACACACACACAGACTTAATTTCTACGTGGACAGCCCACTGAAGAGTTGTGAAGAGACTAGGGGGCATGTAGCAGCCCAGGGCCATGTTTTGTCGGTCGACAAGCTAGTTGACTACATATGAAGCACAGAGAAAGGGAACTACGCTGGAGCAAATCTAGGACTCACTGTAACCTGCGAAGCCCCTGGCACAAGACATTCCAGCGTTATTGAAGCAGTTCGCGACTGCAAGCGATGGTCCTCGGTTTGAGCGGCACATGCTCCAATTAACTAGCTAAACGATACGTCCGCAATGATAGGCCAGCCGCTTAAAGTCATCGTGGCAAAACCGGGAGTGATTGGCCCAATCATTTCGATGCGTATTTTTCGAAATTATTTTCGTCACTGTTTTCGGTACTATTTTCGGAAAGCTCACAATTAATTTCGATTTTTAACAAAGCTCAAGAAGCTTGGGTAGGCGTTACAGATCACATTCATCGGGCGACGGAACGGGTCCCGCCGCAAGGCTGGCAGCTGGCAGTGAGAATCTAAACTACGGAATAGTTAGAATCTAGAAGACCTAGTAGTTAGAATCTAGAAGATCGAGTAGTTATGAAACTCCTCCGCAGACAGTGAGACCTAGGACAGACCACTTCGTAATTTGATTAACAGCCGAGGCTTGGTTTTGCTAGGACTCTGGTAGTGTTCGAAACCTACTACAGCAGCTCTGAATCGAGCGGGAGTGCTTAGACATTGAGGCGAAGCGGCGGCTACACGATTTAATGTCTAATAGTAGTGAAGACGATGATATCATAGAAGTGTTTTCACTCGATTGGTGTATGGTTCGTTATATCTGAGTCAGAAGTTGACTGCAGGGCTAACTCTTGGATGCTCTCAGCTTGAATATAACAAAAGAGCAAGCACGTTATGTTGCACGTCGATACTTTCCAGGTTCAACTCGCAACTATTAGCCAAACCATGCACTGAAGACAGTAGCATCGATTACTCGTAACTCTTTATCTAAAACCCCACCTCGCAGCCTGGTACCCTAAACTTTAATTATCGATTCTAAAGCTTACACGATGGTAGTGCCGTTCGCTTCTCTTAATTTCTTACATATCCCTCCTTCATGAATTCACTGAGCGTTTGCTCCGTGACTCGATTAAGCAAGTTGCTTTGTGTGTCAGCGATTGCCATTTAATTCGAACGGAAAGCGATTGATTAAATCAGTAACCGAAACTCGTCGAGGTAATTGGAGGTATCGAATGTGTGAATATCACGAATGAGTCCTAATTCATCTTCTAAGACGACGTTGCGGACGACTCCCAAAACACCCACTGCGCTCACTGCACCTTAGTCATAAACGCGTTGGCAGCTTCGAGAGTCCAGCCAACTTGAATTAAGAACCTTGCGTGAGCAAGAATTGAATTGTCGTGCGGTCTTCGCACTCGAGGTGCAGCTCAAACGGTCTAGAAACCGGTAGTTTCGCTGCGAGTATACTAAAACCTTGTCGTCGTGCTCTTCGTGAGTGAGATAATGGGCCAGAGTAGAGCGACGGTGCAACGTTTGGGAACGCGCCAGCCGTGTCTGATGAGGGGACAGACGGACTCGCCTCACGAATACTCCAAGGCACAGAGTTCTTCCTCTGGCCTTGTTCGATTGGACCAAAAAGTAATCGAAAATAAGTAGAATCCGTTGTATTCTGAGGTTCTCGGACTGAAGTAAACTCCCGTACAGTGTCCATAAACTGATCTATTGATCTTAACCCTTTCATGACATAAGCAGTTGAGCTCAAAAATTCTATTCTTTTAACACAGGACCCTTCGCTACAATCGCGATATAAATAATAGATGTTGTGGATGCTCGGCTCGTCGGCGTTGGGCCCGCCTCCTCAAATACCAGGCGGTCCTGCTCCGCAGCGCGCAGCGCGCGTTTGCTGTGGCTGCACGTCTCGCACCCGCTCGCCTTAGTCGAAAAAAAAGATTTAACTTATTTTTTTGTGAGCAGTTAGAGCAGTTGAGAGCGATTCGGTAAGCAAGTCGGTCACAGTGAGAACATCACGCATTACGATAGGTGTCTAAGGTAACTCATGGGATCAAAACAGTCCAAGTCACTGACGGAGATGGAGTACACGTACTGACAGCAGCATTGCAATCAACAACCAACTAAAGGTACAAGAAACCAACCATCATGTAACCCCAGCCGAGTCTGCAGTCTCAGTGTTCTTGTCGTAATTCACCATCAATATGGAATCACAATGCTTTGGCAAAAGTTCAGAAAGTGACTTTGTTAGTCCCACGAGCACCTACAAATGGTACTTTGTAACTGGCTCGTCTTGATGTGAGCTTACATAATGATAAAGACCGACTCTATTATAGACCAGGTACGACTTACGTACCAAGCATACAGACAGTAGGCCGGTGGTCGACATCTTGCCGACCTGTGTGCACTTGAAAAATCAAATGGTTTAGATAAAGCTTAGGATATCTTTGATGTTAAACAACCCGCCTAAGATCGACAAATCTCATAGCAATGGAGAGGCAGAGCAAAACCTACCCGGCTTCACCGCTGGACAGTTTTTAGGTACTGGACAACCACAATCCAATTCGACAAGCAAGGTCAAGCATGACGTTCACTCTACCGGAAGATACGATTCCTAAGCTGAAGCTGTCCAAGACACTTCGAGCGGCGCTGATTCATGAGGCCGAGAGTATCGTGTGCGAAACAATTCAAGCGAATGACGCATTTCTAAATGATGGTTCTTGCTTCCCTGCTTCTGACTGGCGATTCGTACGAGCAAAGCAAGGGCTGAATGTGTATTGCCAACGGGCAGAGTCCATTAAACGGTCTTCCTCGCGGAAAACGGGGCTGGTTTCGCCCTTATCTCCAGGCATAACGCGGGATTCATCAATGACTCTTTCGCGTTCCGAGAAATCGAAGCGAACAGGGAAATCCCTCATGGTCTTACACGGAGCTATCGATGGGAATCTCGACGACTGTATGTTCGGCTCCTTTGCTACTACCGAGGAGACGTGGAGGTGGAGGAGCTCGTACGTTTACGAGGGACTCGACGAAGCTCGACTGTTGGCTACAATCAGAGGACCGACTCCCGAAGATCCTTTTCGCTTTCTGGGTCTCAAGTGGTTCACAAAAGAACTCCCATCCGTACTGTCGGGGATTATGCAGCAGCGAGACTTTCTCATCATCGAGGCTACGGGACTCACGCGTGACTCAAACGGTGAACGAGTTGGCTACTTTCTGATGCACTCGGTAACTCTTCCCGAACTTGTTCCCGAATTCCCTCAATTAAACTTAATGAGGGAAGAAATCAGCGCTTGCTATATCGATCGTCAACTCGGCACAAATCAAGTGGAAATGTACTGCCGCAGCTTTCTCAACCCTCGAGGAAAGCCTCTTAACCGGCTGACTGCAGTCATCGCGGCAGAAGCTCTACTAAGTGCGATCGGCATCATCGACTATGCATACATTAGAAAGCTCACATGGCTCGTCAAGAACAAGCAGGAGCGAATGTCAGCGAGACGTTGTCGAACGCGTCGACAGAGTGGCGCTTTCCCTCGTTCCACGCGCTGTCAGGTATGCGATAAAAGCTTCAGAAGACTGGCGTTGAATGGGAGCACCGAGTGTCACATCTGTCGTGGACAGGTCTGTAAGAACTGCTTCGTCGTGAAGAAGATGACGGTGGATGTATCGTTAAGAGGACACGTTAAACAGTGTCCCGTACGAGTTTGCGTGTGCTGTCTTCTCGAAGCCAAGGAGAAATCCGTTTGGGAGATGGCATTGGATGGTATTAGTGAGACCCGATCAGAGGCTTCGTCCAGTTTGGCGTCGGGTCAAAGGAGATGTACGTTACCAGGAGTTGAATAAGGTATTTTTGCAGTTTTTCTTTATGATTCCTTCACACTACAATTCGCTGTAAACCGTGATGATGTGTTGTTACCTTATCCTTCGGAATGCAACCCGTTGTTCTGTACAGCATTCCCGCGTATATTGACGCGTCGAGCCCAGCGTCAGTATTAAATTTGCAGTTTATCTCGTAGCTACAATATTGCCTTTAGGACCCATAAGGCTTCTGGGTCGGCTTGTACTGATAGTCACTACTACGCTCCTCACATGACATGTGTGAGCTGAATATTTTTTTCAAATTTAGAGATTCAGGTGTTATTTAAAAGCAATTAAATAAGGGTACTTTTACAGTTTTCCGATGGAAGTTTACAGTAACTGTCACGTTTTCGGTTAAGTGCGAAAATCAATTGGCCAACTTTAAGCTCGATTATCTCGATAACTCTAAATGGTTCGTAAGTATCATTTTGTTTGACGCAGTCTCATGTGTCACTGCCACCGGGTGTGACGTGGTGGTCACTAGCCAATGGCATGGCAGTGAACAGCCACGTCAATTATTTGAGTTCAGCTGGTCAGATTATTCTGATCAGCGTAAACTTAAGATTGCGTGTCTTTACATCATACTACAATCCTATTGACCCAAAATCCCATGGATTTGCAACAATCAAGCTTCCAGCCGGAAATTGTGATTATGGGACGCTGTGCGAAATTTCCGACCAAGATAGGAATTAGGATTCATAGGCTTTCATTGGTAGTTACAGAGAAAATCAGGATTTGAGAAAGATAGGTTTTAGGATGGACCTGGATACGTGCGTGAATATCCGGTTGTCAAGAACTACTGGTTGTGCGGCAGCTGCTAGCTTGCCGCCGCCAACTCTAACTGATTAATCACTTCTCAATTTGCTTTCGAGCAGCAACTCCCCTCCTCCCCTACAACTGTCTACGGCGCCGTACTCGCCGTCTACGCTCCTACGCTTCCTCGCTACTTTCGTGACATAGTAGCACTTGTCGTGTCAAGCTTCGGTTCAAGTAGGGCACTCGTGGTGGCATAGCCAGAAGCGAGTTGTCCTGAGGTTATTGGTGCCAGCCACATAGTTGGGGAAGCACTAGATCACAAAGGGTATTGCCTTAGCACGAACTGTTACGTTCAGTGGCTAGTTGGTGTGGTTGCGCACTAGTGTGGTACACACAATCGGAAACTCTTTCTGGTGGTCTTGGGTCTATCGCTTTCACGTTAAGTGGATCCTTATCCCGCATCAGAGCTTAAAGGAGCGAACGTCCGATTAGATACTCACTGGTTGTGCTTGATCTACATCCGTTGCTACTGCATCTGTTTCAGTGTGCTTGTTTATGGGTAAGCGAAAGACTCGTCAACCCGAAGATCCGTTTGTAAACAGCACAAAGTCCTTGACTGATCGACACAAGCAGCTCGATCAGCTTCGTCTGGACTTGTGGCTAACAACGGTCAAGCAACTTAAGCTCGTCCGCCTGATCCGAAACGAAATTCCGGATTCTAAGGACGCAGCCGCCCGGAATGTCATTCACGACTTCAGTGAATTGCTCAAGAAACGTATTGAGCAAACTCAAGAAATTCTTGAAGGATCTTTTGATCACTCCATCCACGTAGACAAGGAACGTAGATTGTAGGGAGGAACTTTATATATCGGAGCCTTTTTTCGCTTCGTTTAACTTCGGTATAGGGTTCTGGTATCTTAAAAGACTTGCGCTGAGAAGTCCAGCTTGTAATGGCTCAAAGAAGGAGTCGTGCAGCTGAGCGCCCGTCACCGAACCCTCGTCCTCGTCAACAGAGCC